CTATGCTGGCCTCACAGTCTCCATCCTTCTGCCTCCATTTCCAGAATGTGGAGACAACTGGCTTGTCCATACTTTGAATATGTGTGGACATACTGGCTCCAAGGTTGTCATTAATGGCTTTCTGATGTTTTTCTCCTCCGATGTGGTCCATGAATAAGACCTATGAGGGGAAAGGACTTAAGATGAAAGCCAGTGAGGAGCTAGGTTTCTTCAGGAGAGTTAGTGACTTTTTCTGCAGTGAAACCTCAGCCGTGAGAGTCAGTCCAAGCAGGACACAGGTGTTTCTCCAGGCTTGGGCGGTCAGGCCGTGGGTTTATGCTGAGGGGATGGAGAGGGCTTCGGGATGCACTTGGACCCTCCCTCCAGCAGCCTCCTCACTCTCCTAATCCCTTTAACTTAGGCCTCTGATTTCCGAAGCAGTGGCTTTTGTTCTTTCCTGTTCTGTTGCAGTAGTTAGAGGAAAAGACTCAGAGAGGAGAAGCCGGCAAATAGGCCCGGTCCTCTCAGAGGTCCCTCTCCTGTCCAGGTTTCCTTGTGATTCTTATTGTGCAGGGGACATAGAATTCATGTCCTGATGTTTTTCACTCACCATTGTGTGATGGGATTTTTTCCATCTTGCTACACGATCTTATTATTTTTAATAATTGCGTAATAGTTCATGGAGCGGATGACCCAGATTTTCCAGACCATTCTGTATTAGATTGTTCCCAGGATTTCAATTATTTTAAGTACTCCAGTAATGGATGACTTCCTTTGTAGCACCTTTCCTCTCTTTTGGATTATTTCCTTATAATACATTCCCAGAAGTGAAATTACAAAGTTCATCAGGGCATAAACTTCTCAGTGGCTTAGGATACTACTGTTAATTGCCTTTTGTCAAAACCAAAATGTAACCCCATGGGCCACAGACAAAGGGACTGGCGTGTACCCGACGCCAGTCTTTGGTAGACTTTCGAGGACGTCATTTTCTGTGGTGACAGGGAAGGGGTCTCAGTATTACATACACCACTGGGGTACATCTGCAGCCCTGGACTTCTTGTGCTGTATCTCATGTTTAAATATTATGCTCTTAGAGCTGGCAAGATGGCTCAGTGGTAAAGATACTTGTAGTACAAGCCTGGTGGCCTGAGTTCTGTTCCTAGAAAGCATAGACAGTTGGAACGAGAGAGATAAAAAACGGATTCCATGAAATTGTTGTCTGCCCACATACACAGTGTGGCAAATGTACACTCTCAATCTCTCTCTCTCTCTCTCTCTCTCTCTCTCTCTGTCACACACACACACACACACACACACACACACACACACACACACACAAATACTCATATTAAAAGGTTATGAAGCCTTGGGCACAAAGTTCTCTTGTGTTTCCTGAGAGACCCAAAAGGCTGATATTTTTCAGGTGCACACATTGCCTGCATTTTGGGGTTTGTTGGCCCCTTTTAGGACCGTGATCTTACCTATATAGCTTAATATTCATGTAGAAGAGTTACTACTTAGAAACTTGGAATCATTCTTCAGCTATGAGAATGAGAACACTAAATGCCGTTTCTTTTGGAGGTGGGGATGTAGCTCAATGTGTGGTATGTGTGCATGTGTGTTTGCATATGTGTTGATTTTAGTGCATGGGAAAGCCTGACCTTCCTCTGCTGTTTCCACTTTCCTAGATCCGGGATCACAGGCAACCCGCTTGGGTTCTGGGGACCGAACTCTGGTGTGCTTCAATTAATCTCTCCCTCCCTCCCTCCATCCCTCCTCCTCCCACCCTCCCTCCATCCCTCCATCCCTTCCTCCTTCCCTCCCTTCCTCCATATCTTCCCCTTCCTCTCCCAGTCCCACCCTCCCTCCATCCCTTCCTCTTTCTTTCTTTGTGAAAGGATATCATTCTGTAACTCAAGCTGGCTTGGACCCCACTAGTCAGCCTTAGCTGGTCTCCAACACACAGCACTCCTCCAGCCTCAGTCTCCCAAGAGCTGTGCCCAGCTCAAAAGATTGTCTTTTAAGGCATGACCTATTTTTTAAAATGCCAGGAGCCAAGGCCCTTTCGAGCGGCTGTCTTGCATTTCTCTTTGTGAAGAGCTGTCACTAAAATTAAAATGTATAGCCTTTGGGAGGCAGATGTGGAGGCAGGTAGAGCTCGATAAGCTTGAACCCAGCCTGATCCAAATAGTGAATTACAGGCCAACCAGGGCTGCATAATAAGACCCTTTCTCAGATATACAGACAGACAGACAGACAGACAGACAGACAGACATTGCCTGACCCTTGGCTTTTACTTTCACTGCTTTTTTTCAAGGCCAGCCTGGTCTACAGAGAAAGTTCCAGGACAGCCAGGGCTACACAGAGAAACCCTGCCTGGAAAAACCAAAATGAAATAAAATAAAATAGATATCTAAATGCACCTGTTCAGACAATGTTATTAGTTAACATGTCTGTATATAAAGTTTCTATAGTAGGTACCCAATCACAGTAAAGACTACACACATAGAAAGTACTGTTATTAAGTTACTGTTGTTAAAATGCTTCCCCCAATTCTATCCCTGATCCTGGGTGACTACACATCAATCATTGTCTGGGAACAAATGCAGTGTATCCGTGGCTGGCTCGACACGTACCCTGTAGACCAGGCTGGACACGAACCGCACCATCTATTTCTTATTTGTATTTTATGTGTGTTGGTGTTTTGCCTGCATGTATGTTTGTGTGAGGGTGTCAGAAGCCCTGGAACTGGAGTCATAGATAGTTGTGAACTGTCATGTGGGTGCTGGGAATTAAATGGGTCCTCTGTAGGCTTCTAATTTGGCACAGACCCCTTTTTTGGAAGATCCTTGTTTCACTAACAGTGGTGGGCCGGTAGGAAGACTAAGTGAGGAAAGGCCCAGGGTGGTAGGAGAGGACCAACTCCTGTAAACTGTTCTTTGACCTCTGCATGCATGCATGCGATAGTGAGCACATTCATTTGCATACATGTAAATGTTACGTGTAAAGATCTTCTCCCACGGAATGCTCACACAGCAAGGCATCATGCTGATGTGATTACAGACATGACCTCCTGAGCCATGCCTGAGCGAGGTCATCAGTGTACAGAGAAGACTGAGGGAGTTGGCTGCACCCTCTAGGTGACCCACCCAGAACTTTGGAATTCAACCTGTCCCCAGCGAGCAGGCTGATGTAGGTCCTAACCCAGAAGCCTTTGGCCCCTGTGACTCCTTTCCTGACGCTTACCCTCCCACTTGTCTTCAGCTGTCAGGTAGAACAGGCAGCTGGCTCCTGGATGTAGGATTGATGAGAAGTTGGATCTCTCTGTCATCCGCTCCTGTTGTGGAATGCCTCTCTAACACAACGGATTCTTTGATAATTGGCTCCCAGTCTGTGTCACTCAGGCACCTAAATGTGAAGTGAGTTCCAGGACAGCCAGAGCTACACAGAGAAACCCTGCTTCAAACAAGAACAATAACAACAAAACAAAACAAATAATACAAAATAAAACAAAAATTTGATATCTCAACAACTTTGAAGTTTGCTTCTCTCCCCACCCTGTATCTTCCTGACACGTGGATCTATCTTGATCCAACGCTTCCAAAGCACCTACGTACACTGCAGAATGTCTTTATACTTACAATATTTAGACTAAAGTCTGAGTATAGGGGTTTCCTCCTTCCTTCCCTCCCTCCCTCCTTCCTTCCCTCCCTCCCTCCTTCCCCCCCCTCCATTTTTCATCCTTTTCTTTTTCACATTTAATTTTGAGTTTGGATGTTGCTAAGTTGACAAGACTGGCCTTGAACTAACGACATCTTTGTGTCTCCCTCTCTTTCCTTTTTCTCCAGGGTCTTATTTTATAGTCTGGCCTGGCCTAGGACATACTATGCTCCCCTGGCTTGCCTTGGACTCACAGTATCTCCCTCTCTCCATCTCTTGGGTGCTGGGGTTACAGGCATTCACTGCCATGCCTGCCTCCAGACCTTGAACTCTCAGTTCTCCTGCCTCAGCTTCCTGAGGACCTGGGAAAACAGACCTGGGCAACCAGGCCAACTTGTTGCTGGCTTTTTGTCCACCTGAAGTTTTGCTGGGAAAGAGAAAGATGGGGACCTGTGGACAGTTGGGTTTGGTTTGTCCTGTTGGAAGTTTGGGTAAGGTGGGGGCAGGTCACATGACTGGACCAGTTGGGTTCTCTCCTAGAGCACAGCCTTCTAGTTCCATGCAGGTCTGTAAGGGCTGGAGAACAGGCAGATCCTGCTTGAGAAAAGGAGTCCATTGAACTGCACTGTGTCCAGGCCACACAGAGCCCAGCACACTCCCATTCAACGTAGCTGCACCTGGCACCTCTGGGTTCTGAGAAATAGCCAGAGCATCAGTGTGGCTGTTTGAAAAATTTAAGGGGTGGTGTTTCCAAAAATATTATTTGAAAAAATTTAAGGAATCATAACCTGTTTTCAGTATGGAATAGAGTCCTAAAGCTTGGAAGAACTTAGGGTGCCTGAGATTTGGGAAGAAAAAAAAGGTGTGACTAGAGAATACATACATGGTTGCGGTCAACGTGACTGGTGCCTTCAACTGCACAGTCTAAGCAGACTCCAGTTATCTGGGTTTGATCCTACGACATTTGGTAATGTGTGTGTAGATGCTCTGGCAGCATTTGGTCCAGGTCCACAGGATGTTTTACCTGGCTTGTTTCCACTGGTCACTTGGATGGTTGGTCCTTCAGCCCCCTCCTCTGTCTCCTGCATCTTTCCAGGGGGCGCTGAGCACCATTCATTCCGTGTTGCCGGGATGGTGAACGGCACTGGCTGGCAGAGCTCAGCACAGTGGGTGCCCCTTGCTCTGGGCAAGGAAGGGCAACGCTGACTTTCCTCCTCCTGAGTGGTTCTCTGGGACAACTCTGGGCCTGGCTGTGCTAACCATGTCATTTGTTCCTAGATGCTGAGGCAGGAGGATTGGGCCAGTTAGCAAAGCGATGTTTAACTATTTCTCTTTCTCTGTTCTCCTCTTTCTTTTACAAGCCGGGTGCCTCGGTGATGTCTGCAGTGGGAGAAGGCGCCAACTCCGAGAACAGTGACCTCAAGTATTCAGGTCAAGATGGCCTCTACATAGGCGTCAGTCTGTCCTCTCCTGCTGAAGTCACGTCCTCTGTACGGCAGGATTCTTGGTGTGCTCTGGCCCTGGCCTGAGCTGGTGCTGACAAGGGGCTAGGAGGGATCTGAGGCCTCATGCCACTGTGTCTGAATTTGTCCAGCAGTCCAGAGGGCAGCAAAAATGCAGACGTAACATTCCTTCGATGCATGATTTCTGTGCCTTTGTTTTGAAAGAGATATATTTCCCAAGAAGCTTGCTGAAGTAAGAAGAGATGGCTCCTTGCAGGAAGGGCCAGTACAGCAGGCACGTGGCCTGCTCCTACCAGCCTGGGCCACCTCCAGCCAGCCTGCCTCTGGGTCTGCCCCACACCAGTGGCAGAAACTGTGACAATGACTGGAGCCTTGTCTGCTAAGGAAGACTGAGAGATTTAAAAAAAATGTTTTATGCCTATTGCCCCAAATCATGTGCTTCTTGTGATCAACCTCGGTTATCCCAGAATTTCTTCATCCCTGATCGACATTAGCATTTCACAAGCATTCATGGAGAGGAGCACTGAAGCCATTTGGTACATCCTGGGGGGCTGAGTGCAACTCCTGGGGTCTATTAGTCTGCAAGATGGAATTATACCGGGCAGATGCTGACTGACTTTTCTCAGCGTTCATCTGAGGTCACTCGGAATTTGTAAACAGGGTAGCAAACAAGATATTTTTCTTCCATGTACACAATAATTTTTTAAAGTGCAATTTGCGTTGCAGCAATCAGTGTTAAATCATCTGCATAAGATTTAACAGCATTTTTATAATGAATGTAAACATTTTAACTTAATGGTACTTAAAATAATTTAAAAAATGTTAACTTAGACATGCTTCTTACACCCATAGCCCATTTCTGTATTCCCAATTGTTTAAAAAAAAAAAAAAGCAACAACAAAAAAAGATTTCAAGAACAAATCTTCTCTCAGGAAAATTGCCTTTTCTCCATTTATGAATTTTTATACAAGAATACCAACACAGCCCCCTTTCTTTTACTGAGGAAAAAGTGCTGGAAATTGCAACAAACCTTTACTACCTAAAGATTAGCATTTGTAAATACTCTAAGCATCTGTAAGCACTCTTGAAGTCTGTACCGTGTGACTAACCCACAGGTTGGTTTACATTATTTTTTTTTTAATGGGATGTTGTATGGAAACCTATTTCACCAGAGTTTTAAAAAAATAAAAAGGGTATTGTTTTGTGTTCTGTACAGTGAGTTCCTTCCTTTTCATCATAATTTTGCTGCTGTGTGTGTCTATAAATTGTCACATAAAACAAAGTGCGTGTCGTGTTTGCAGCCTGCCTTGAGGTCGTTATTTCAAAGAATTGTCCTTTGGGAGCCTTGTGCACCTTGGTTTATTTGAAATTGGCACACGCAGTGGGTCAGCACTTCCCGACGCAACAATGGCAGTGTCTGAGATTAGGAGCATTCTGCTTAGGACCACGGCTTAAACACAACATCCGAGCCAGCCCAGGAGTTCATTGTGAATGAACATACTCTGGAGCTCAAGACCAGGACACTCCTGTTGCTCCCTGATGCAGAGTGTCGCAGAATCTCACTAAGTTGCCCAGGGGGCTTTGAACTTGCAACTCTCCTGTCTCCATCTACAGAGCAGCTGGGGTTACAGGCCTGTGCCACTAGTTACAACCCAAGTCTTTCAAAAGAAGTCTGGTGGTCAAAATTTGGCACCTACAACTCCATCTACTTGAGGTTTCTGGATGGATTGTGCGGGGGGTGGGGTGGGGGTGGGGTGTGTGTGTGTGTGTGTGTGTGTGTGTGTGTGTGTGTGTGTGTGTGTGTGTAGTGTTCAATGGCTGACCTCGGAGCAGGCAACTTCGTGGCCCCGGGTGGTAAGAATCTGGTACAAGAAGGTGTTAGACACTGGGTCAGACAGAGCAGAGAGAATGCAGTGGCTGGCTGGTTCAACATCATGATATTTTGGAAGGCAAACGGCACAAGGCAGTTCATAGGGATGCAGGATAATGGATCCTGTTTGATGGCCCCTAAAGGACAGGGTCACAGGTGAGCTGAATCTTCTCCAAGGAGCAGCCAAGCTCCCTGAGGTCCTGCAGCGAGTGCTTCCACACCTGCAGGACAGAGCGGCCCTGCACTGTTTTCCATGGTGGCCCCAGGGCCGACATCATTAATTTAGTTAAAGAGATTTTTATTTGGCTTGGTTTTTCTTTTTTAGGAATATTGCAAAAATGGCTAAGCTATAGCAATTAAAGATAAACTGTTTGCTTAGCAGAAATGCTTCCGTTTCTGTTATTAATGGCCGTCTCTCTTCAGACCCAGACATCTTGCAGCTTTAGAATGAGTTGCTTCCTCCGTGAAGATGGAGTGAGTCTCAACAGTTCCTTGTCTGCTTTTGTGTCCCGCTGGCAGATTGTATCCGAGGCAACAGTGGGCCGTGTAGCCCAGTCTGGGGTCCCCAAGTCTGAAGGGCCCTCCAAACCAGGGAAGCTGGTGGGATTACTGAATTCTGTCCCCTTCGGGTCTCCTCCCATCCCAGGCGCTGGTCTTTGGAGTCCAGGGAGAATGTATCCCATCAGGTTCAAGAGCGTCGGGGGCTGAGACTTGCCGCTGCCCCTCACCATGAACCTATTTGGTCTGGGGCCTTTCACAGAAAATTTACACATCCATATGGTCCCAGACGGGAAAATGGAAAAGTCTGGCAGCCGCTGGGTCTGCAGAACTAGGAAAAAACAGCTTTGCTTCGCTTGGCTCGTGGCTTCAGTGTCTTTTAGTGAGTTTTTTATTTCTTAGAAACAGCTAATTTTTCATTGTTTGCCTTCTGTGTCTTCTTAGCTATTACAGTTTCCTCTCTGTCTCCCCGCCTCTGGCTGCGGGCTTGGTCCATATTTTTGTAATTGCTGTTCCTTTAATAGACTGAGGAAATACAGTTCCACTCAGATAACGCTTGCTGTGTTCCAGTTTCTACACAAAGTACTACACCTTCGTGCACTTTATATTTAGCTATAGAAATATAGTTCTTTTTGAGACAGTCTCGTGGCCGGGGAAATTGCCTATGTAGCAGAGGCTGGCCTTGAACTGATGCTTCTGCCTCTACCTCCTGAATGCTAGGATTAACAGGTTTGTGCCACCAAACCCAGCTTGCTGTGCTGCAGATCAAACCCAGGCTTTGTGTGCTCTACCTGCTGACTTATACCCCCAGATATTTAGCTATGTTTTTGTGAATTCTTTTCCTAACATTCCAAGACCAGCCTATGGAAATAGTAAATTTGTGTGGCACTTCTGAAGTGATGCTGTGTGTGTGTGTGTGTGTGTGTGTGTGTGTGTGTGTGTGTGTGTGTGTGTTGCATGCATGTGTGAAGGGGTACAATGGCTGCTGTGTATTTATGTGGAGACTGGACAGCAACGTTAGACAATTTCTTTTATTAGGGAATGACCTTATGAAACAACTTTAGCTTTGAGGCAGCATCTCTCATTGAATCTCCAATTTAGCAGCCAGCAAGCCTCTGGGATCTTTCTGCCTCCGCCTAATGATGGGAAACACAACCACCTGAGCTTTTATGGGATCCAAACTCAGATCTTCATGCTTACATAGCCAGCATCTTACCAACTGAAATGTCCCAGCCTGTGTACTGGTTTCTATACCAAGTGATGCACATAAACCAATTTGTCTCAGACTAAGTAAACTAGGCCCATGATCCCTGCTTTACAAATGTACCCGAGGAACAGGCAAGAGAAACAATTCACACAAAGTCTACTGTCTGGCTCCAGTGAACCTCCATTTATTTGAACCCTGTGTCTTTCCATCTCTGCTTGAAGGTGGCTTGCTGGCCATGCTGGGGCAGGCCTGTAATCCAGGCACTTGGGAGGTGGAGGCAGGAGGATCAAGAAGAACTCAAGGTCAATCTTCTCAAGTTAGAGGCTAATATGGGCTATGTGGAATTCTGTCTCAGAAAGCCCAAACCACACTAAATGGAAACAAACCCCCAAGCCCCAAACAACCAACCCCGAAAACTAAATACCAGAGAACAAAAAGAACACCTCACTGGTGCAAAATCTCTCTGAGCTTTGTTGTGTCATTTTTTTTTCTTGGAACAAGATCTTGGCAGTGGTGTTTTGGGCTCTATCTTCTTAGAGTGTCTGCTGCATTTCCCATCACTGTTGCCATTTTTACTTTGATAATTGTGTATTACCAATGATGCTGCATGCAGAACTGCACACAGCACTTGTAAAAATTACACTGACCCTTGGGTCCCCGACCGCCTCCCTCAGCATCTGGATTTACAGGTTTTGTGGCAGGCTAAGGAAGCTACATGTTTTGGCCTTCATGTTTTTTAACTTTTTGTTGTTGTTGTTGTTGTTTTGCTTTTTAAGATGGTCTATTTATTTAGTCCTGGCTGTCCTGGAACTCACTATGTAGAGACCAGGCTGGCCTCGAACTCACAGAGATCTGCCTTCCTCTGCTGGGACCAAAGGTGTGCACGACCATGCCTGGCCCCTAATGTTTCTTGACTAGGACAAAACTCTGGAGTTTGAAGCAGTGGGAGATGGCTGACGGCACATCTGTGCTTTGGCCATCCCGGGCCTCCCTCAGCTGTGACTCCTGTTTTCTGTTCCTTGTGGTTCCTTCCATTCATTTCCTTTTTCCTGTCCACTTCTTTTCCTCTTTCCTCCTCCTTCCCTACCTTTCCTCTTCTCCTTTCCCCTTCCTTCTGATCCCCCAACCTGTGTGTGCTGAAGGGTTTGCCTCAGGCTCCTAAGCGCTGGGATCAGGCCTGAGCCACCCTGCCTGTCTTCCTTGTCCCACAGATGAAGCGCATGGGCTGGGGATGCGCAGACCAGCACCCATTTCACAGCTTCGTGTGTGGCAGCGGCTCAACGCTGCTTTGACTTTGCTTTTTTCACTCAGTGTAAAAAGTGTGCTCCTTATTTGACCAGTTCCCTGCTGTTTCACTTTCAGGTAATGCTGCAATTGATACCGCGCTTTCGTCGTTTCGCAGTCTGCATGTGAGCTGTCAGACACACTGCTAGCAGCGGGGTTGCTGTTGGGCGGTGGCGGCGCACACCTTTAATCCCAGCACTCGGGAGGCAGAGGCAGGTGGATCTCTGCGAGTTCGAGGCCAGCCTGGGCTACAGAGTAAGTTCCAGGACAGCCAGAGTGGTTACACAGAGAAACCCTGTCTCCAAAACCAAAACAAAACAAAAGTATGATTGCTGACTGAAGGGTTTTGAGAGCTGCGACTCCAGCGTGGATGGCTATACTCTGCTAATGCACTGCTTAGGATGGCACTGTGCCAACAGAGCCACATCCCAGCCAGACTTTTCCTTTCCTAGCTCTGCCAAGTTGCTCTTACGGAGATTATCCCAGTTTATACTCCCACTGGCAGTGTACAAGAATGTCTATTTCCTCTTAGTTAAATGAGCTTGTTATCAAACATTCTGATCTAGTCTCTAGTATCTTTGAGTTTTGTTTTGCATTTATCTTGTGTGAGGTTGAATGCCTTTTCCTGTGATTGAGGGTGATTAAAGAGCCTTTCACGGCGCTCTTACTGTTTTTGAGACAGAAACTCGATTTGTAGCTCTGTCTAGCCTGGAACTTGAACTTCCTATGTAGGCCATATGTGGGCCTAAAATGTCTGGGGATCTTTCTGCTTCTACCTCCTGAATGCAGGGATTGCAGATGTGTACACACATTCCAGGTAGTCTTTCCGTTCTCTTTCTACAGTGCTGGGGATAAAGTCTATAGCCTCATGAATGCTAGGCAGGTGCCTTACTATGAAACCACACCCAGAGCCTGGGCCTCCTCTCCCCTCCTCCTTCCTCCCCTCCCCTCCTCTTCCCTCCCCCCTTTCTTTTCTTTTCTTTTCTTTTCTTTTCTTTTCTTTTCTTTTCTTTTCTTTTCTTTTCTTTTCTTTTCTTTTCTTTTCTTTTCTTTTCTTTTC